TACATAACTACACACACACACACACACACTATATATATATATATAATATATATATATATATATATGTATAGATATAAGTATTTAGTTTTATATTTACTTTTAAAAATGCACTTGAAATATGTGTTTACGAGATATACAGACAGGTAAGTATATGAATGTATAAAGTATATGAATGTATATGTATTCTAGAGAAATACTTATCTGTATATGTATTTTAAAAATGAGACGTGTGTACATGTAAAGGGTATGTATGCATATGTATATAATAAATATTCATATAGTTCTACATATGACAGAACCCTGTGGTCCCTGTCACTGCGCGGCAGTTTCGTCGACTCTCGTGAGTCGTGAATTGTGAGCGGACCTGGCCTGAGTGAGACTCACACTGAGACAAAAATTTAAAAGTCCCAACCGCCGAGAGCCTGAGGGCTGAGGCTGAGAATCAAGATCCGTATTGCGATGTCGATCGCATTCTTCAAATAGCTCATTATTACCAACTGATTCGCTACTCGATATAATTACGAGAAACCAGGCACACTTGTCCATTTCTTCATTCTCTCTCTCTTCTTGTTGTTTGTGTATTTATTGAATTTGCCCTCTTTTAAATCAAACGTGTGTCCTCAGAGAGAAAGAGAGTCACCCATCGCCCTCTCATCCCGGTCTGCCGCCTGATGAATAGGTGTGAGTGTTGTTTGTATTTGTAATTTTTAGTTGACCTGTGCGGCATGTGATATATATTTCATAAAAAGAATCCGAGTCTGCCCGAATGGGGGGTTTTTTTTGGAATTAAAGAAATATGTTATCATTTATTTGTATTTAAATTTCACGTGGTGACGAGTCCAATGAAAATAAACATAACACGCTATTTACTCAAACCGATGAAGTTGTATACGAAGCTCAAGAAGCAAGTGGTGCTCTGGATTCTGATATCCTCTCTGCTAAAAGAAAGCTGGGCAAATAAATAACAAATAAACAAATGACAACTGTTGAACTGCTGCAGAGTGTTGCTCACAGGTGCTGGCTTGTTGCAGAAGCCAGTCAGTTGATTATTGTGGGAACTGAGAACTTGGAACTTGGAAGAACCAAACTTCCAAGGGTTTTCGTTATTTTATTTCTCTAGTCTTTAGTGAGTAGTGAGTAATCCGCAGTATTACATTTACAGGCTATGATGCAGTCTACAGGCCTACAGTTTCTACAGTTTCTGTGGGGTGTATTAAATATGCATTTATGGGTACGACTGTATGTAATTCGACTTTTTATATTTGTTTTCATAAAAAAATGTGGTACTGTCCAGTGCACACTGTACACTGCACCGGGTACAGCGTCCTGAATAAAACAAATACTATTCGGAAATAAAAAAAGCCGGCAACGTTTTCGGGAATACTGAGTTCTAGATAAACCCTATAAATTCGGATGCGATGGGTATAAAAGCAGAGGCACGACAAAAGAAAATGCTACATTCACCATTTTAAAATATTGTACAGTATTTTATAACAGTGAACCATAAGATCATGTCGTCTATATACGCCACAGTTCCCAAAGCTGCAGGGGTGGAGGCCCGTTTGGCTAAAGCAAAGCCATATATGGGGATACCACAAAGCAATTTAACTTTGCTTCTACCACTTGTCGCCGTCGTATGCCTGGTGGTACCATGGGGTGTATTTGTACTACCTGTCTGTGCGATATATGTATTGCTAGTGGTCGCTCCTATGCAGTTGAAAGCATACTTCGCCACTGTCGACGTATCCGCTGACAAGAGCGTTGCGTCAATTAAACCTGTAGAAAAGCTCACGCCCTTGGAAGATAGGGAGTTCGACGTAGTTGTGTTCGGTGTTACCGGACATTCCGGATTCCTACTAGCCGAGTACCTAGTGATGCAGTACGCTAGCAAAGGCAACCTAAAGATTGCGCTTGCTGGTCGCAATGCCAAAAAGCTTGCTGCAGCTCGTGAGAAATTGGCCATCAATTCACACCCGAGTGCCCTAGACCTGCCTCTTCTTTTCGCCGACTCGAGCAACGATGCATCTCTAGAAGATATGTGTATGCGCACGAAAGTAGTAGGTACTACCGTCGGCCCGTTCTTGAAATACGGTGAGAGTCTTGTACGTGCGTGTGCTCGTACCGGAACTGGTTATTGTGATCTAACTGGTGAAACTGGGTTTGCAGAGATAGCTTACGCCAAGTACAATAAGGTTGCGGTGGAGACTGGAGCGCGTGTCGTGTCATTTACCGGGTTCGATTCAGTTCCCGCTGATGTTGGTACCATCGAGGTTGTTAAGAAGTTCAAGGCGAAATTCGGTAAGGCTCCAGCACAAGTTGATTGTGTGTACTCCAAACTGGGCGGTGAGGCTGCGGGTGGAACTATTGATACAGTTGTACATCTGCTTGAGAACGGTCTGCCACCCACCATTGTAGGCAAAAAGGACCAACCAACCAAGAAGGGTGAGGCCAGTATGACTCTACCCTTTGTCTACTACAATCGCTATGCCGAATCTTGGACTATTCCTTTCTTCATGGCCCCGGTGAACAGCAAAGTTGTGGAGTGGACTAACAACGAGATCGGGCACAGCCCCAAATTATCGTACAACGAGGTTATGGGCATGCCCAACATTTCATCGGTTATCATTGGCAGTCTATTAGGTATGATTGGTGGCTCATTCTTCGTCATGAAGGCCACTCGTGACCTTATCTTCAGCATGGGATGGCTCCCTAAGCCCGGAGTTGGACCCAGTAGAGCCAAAATCGCCAAGGGCTACTCTCTCGCAACATTCTATGCATCCTCAGCCGATGGCAAGTGTGTAGAGTCTCTTCGTTGGGCCAATATTGGTGACCCCGGAGGCTTTGCCACTGCGCTTTACCAAGGTGAGTGTTGTGTTGCCTTGGTGAAGGACTCGGACCGACCTGGACCCCGCCCAACCGGAGCTGGCCTCACGGTGGGTATGTGCATTGGTGCTGATGTCATGCTTGAGCGTCTCAATGACTCTGGATTCCTCAATATCGTCTAGAGTGCGCTGGCATGAACTAGCCAATTAGAAATAATATTAAACTACATACTGTCTATATATCTGTGTGTCTAACCGGCACTCTGTCTATCAGAACTAGAATGTTTGATTAACATATGGACTCACGCTAGTTTCATTATGATACTTTGTATATATTCACGTTGCCAGACAAAATTTCGGGATCAATATTTGCTATAGTATATGGTCATAAGGTAAATGGTAGCAAACAGTTATATATATATATATGTATATATATTCATATATATATATATATGTATGTGAGTGTAAATATATGAGTATATTTATATTATATGTATGCATATGT